GATGAATGGATAAAGAAGATGTGGCACATATATACAATGGAATATTACTCAGCCATAAAAAGAAACGAAATTGAGTTATTTGTAGTGAGGTGGATGGACCTAGAGTCTGTCATACAGAGTGAAGTAAGTCAGAAAGAGAAAAACAAATACCATATGCTAACATATATATATGGAATCCTAAAAAAAAAAAAAAAAGGTACTGATGAACCTAGTTGCAGGGCAGCAATAAAGATGCAGACATAGAGAATGGGCTTGAGGACACGGGGTGGGAGGCGGAAGCTGGGGCCAAGTGAGAGTTGCATCAACATATATACACTACCAAATGTAAAATAGATAGCTAGTGGGAAGCAGCAGCATAGCACAGGGAGATCAGCTTGGTGCTCTGTGATGACCTAGAGGGGTGGCATAGGGAGGATGGGAGGGAGGCTCAAGAGGGAGGGGATATGGGTCATATGTATGTACATGGCTGATTCACTTTGATGTACAACAGAAACTAACAGTATTGTGAAGCAATTATACTTCAATAAAGATCTAAAAAAATAAAATAAAACTGGCAAAAGAATATGTCAAATATAGCTTCAGATTCCTGACAAAACGTTAAATTATATTCATTATTTTTAAAATGCTTTCCCTAGCCTAAAGTACTGAGATTATTTAATATAAATGAAATGGGCCCCAAATAGCTGACGTTTACTAACAAAGGTGAGGGAGAAAAGCTTACCTTCTCTGCTAAGAGCTCTCGTATCTTGCTCGCTTGAACTCTAAATTTCATGAGTTGGGACTCCAGGGCTATACATCGTTCTTTCCAATCTACTGGTCCTTCTGTCTCAGAAAGCTCTGCCATATTTATTCTAGGAAGGAAAGAAAGCATTCATATGGCATAATATCAGTTAGCATTCAGGATAATTCATTAAATCATTGAACACACATATTCTAGTCACCATCTAACGATATCTAGACGTAAGTTTTGAATTCTAAGATAAATTCCAGAACTGGTGATAGCTCATGGAAAGAACTTAGGGGAGACAAGAGGCCAGGGTTGGAGGCCCAACTGGGTTACATAAACTTTCTGTTTAACTTAATTAAACTTTCCGTGTCTCAGCTTATCCAATCTAGAAAAAAGGGGGAATGTGGCAATAACAAACCATTCGTCTCATGGGTAGGTTGTAAGGAACAAATTAAATACTGCTGTTCTTAACAATACCTTGGACAATATAACAGCACCACACAAACAGAGTACTGTCATTATTTTAGCTCTGCCCAACAGCTGAGGTAAGATTTTTTACATCTGTCGGTTCATAATTTTACCATGTTCTTAAACTTATAGAATTATTACAGTTTTGATTCAATTGGTAGCATCATAGAATAACCTAAAGAAACTTCATATCAGTGCTACAATTACGGCTTAGACTTATAATTATTACTTACCACCACCCTATATTTGTCCAGGTCCAGGCTGTCTTTCTTTTTTTTTTTTTTTCATCTTTATTGGAGTACAATTGCTTTACAATGGTGTGTTAGTTTCTGCTTTATAACAAAGTGAATCAGTTATACATATACATATGTCCCCATATCTCTTCCCTAAGGCTGTCTTTCAAACCAAAAATCCTTTGGCATATTTAACTGGGCAAAGTATTATGACCCTAGACGAGTTTAGATAATTTTTATTTGGTGTAAGAAGAGAAAACATATAAACATGAAATTTAGAATCACCTACATTAAGTAAGTCTGGATCAGTGTTTTCCAAGATGCTAACCTTCCTTTTGGAGGAGATTAATCCTAAGGAGAAGCACGGTTAAGGGGAAGCCAAGAGGCAGGGGAACTGGTTTTGAAATTCTAAAGTGCAAAAAACTATTGCTTGACTTTGGAAGCACAATTATTTTTAGCTCTGGGATTCATAAAAGTAGTTTTAAATGTCTGTTAATGTTTCATCAGACCATTTTCATAAATGGCTTGATAATGTATTTCTGAATTGCCTTTGCTATGAACTGACAAAATCTGCATTAGAAATGGCTCTTCAGGAGAAGCCAAGTCCTAATCATAGCATATATGTGACAGCAAACTCTCAGAACCCCAGGATAGAACTGCAGTAGAAGCGTATTATTCTGTTCTTCTGTTTTACAAAAACATGTCTCCCTCACAAATTAAGCAAGTTTATTTTCCCAATATTTAGTGTAATATAACCCCTTCTTAAATCTATACCAGTTTTTTAAATCTGCAAAAGATTATTTTCCTAGCATAAATATTGATTCGTGCTTAGATCAGCTTTCACATTAATACTTACATTATCACTCAATAATTTAGAAATAAATATAAGCAAAGTTATTCTACAAAGGCTACAACTTTATTAAGAGTTCCCCAACCATCTCAAAGCCTCCAGATGCTCCTAAATTCTAGCCATAATTTAAGGGAAACTTATTGTAGAGCTAAAAATTGTTCTCTTCATTTCTTCGTTTTCACAGAAGCCCCACCCCACTGTTTTATGAGTTTTTCCTAAGGATATTAGCCTTGTTAATGACCTTTTTTTCATTACCTCACATCAGCATTTTCTATTAATGATTTAGAAGTAAATAAGGTAGTTTGTCAGTCACAAACTTTTTCTCAATTCTACTGCTATTTCATTTCTTTCCTCATTAGCTTTAGAGTGGACAAGGAATAAAATACAGATGAAATATTAAAAATAAAAAGCAGTCCTGAAATGGACATCCTTAAGTCTTGAACCATTCATATCACTGCACAGAAATATAGGGACACTCCTCTATCTTAAGCAACAAGAAGAGTCTATTTCATGTTGGTTAATTTTTGAACTACATTTAAAATAACCTGTTTATGTTCTACTGTAAAATTTCTACAGTTTTAAAAATAACAAACATATTTTTCAACAAATGAAAATCAATGTAATGAAACATATGAACAGAATAAAAAACAAAAACCATATGATCATTTCAACAGACGCAGAAAAAAACATTCAACAAAATCTAACACCCTTTTATGATAAAAACATTCAACAAACTAGCAATAGGAATGAACTTCCTCAGCCTGATAAAGAGCATCCATGAAAGCCCACAGTTTATATCACACTTAATGGTAAATGACTGATCCGCCTAAGATCAGAAACAACATAAGGATGTCTGCTCTCGCCACTTCTATTCAATGTCATACTGGAGGGTCTGGCCAGTGCCAGAAAATAAAATAGAAAGCGCACAGATTGGAAAGGAAAAACTAAAACTATTTCTATTTTAAGATGTCATGGTCTTATTCATAGGAAATTCTAAGGAATCCATTAAAAAAAACTATTAGAACTATTTAAGTTCAGCAAAGTTTCAGGAAACCAGATCAATATACAAAAATCAATTGTTTTACTTTATACTTGCAAGGAAACTCCAGAAATGAAATCAAGAATATATTCCATTTACAATAGCATCAAAAAGAATTAAATACTTAGGAGTAAATTTAACAAAAGAAGTATAAGATTTGTACTCTGAAAACTACAAAACATCATTGATCAAGATGAAAAAAAATAATTACAAAACATCATTGAAAGAAATTAAAGAAGACCTAAATAAATGGAAGACATCGCACATTCATGGATTAAAAGACTTAATACTGTGAGGATGGCAACACTTGCAAATGGATATACACATTTAATACAATCCCTATCAAAATTCCAACTGCATTTTTTTGCAGAAACGGACAAGCTGATCCAATAATTCATATGGAAATTCAGGGAACCCAGAATAGCCAAAACAATCTTAAAAAGTTTTATGACTCACACACTCAATTTCAAAAATTACTACGAAGGTACAGTAATCAAGACTGTGTGGTACTGGCATAAAGATAGACATATATATAGATCAGTGGAATAAAATTACGAGTACAGAAATAAGGAAATAAGAAATAAGGATGGGGGGCAAAATAGGTGAAGGGGATCCAGTGGTACAAACCTCTTATATAATAAATAAGTCACAGGGATGTAATATACAGTATAAGGAATATGGTCAATGTACTAATTTTGTACGGGGACAGATGGTCACTAGACTTATCGTGGTGATCATTTCATAATGTATGCAAACATTAAATCATTATGTAGTATACCTGAAATTAACATAACATTGTACATCAACTATATTTCACTTAAAAATATCTGTAACAACCCTACTTCCAAATAAGATCACATTTTGAGATACTAGGGGTTAGGACTGCAATACATCCTTTTTGGTGGCGGGCGGGGGAGCTATTCAATCCATTAAAAAAAGTACATAAATAAAACCTCACATTTAGAGAGAACTGATTTTTGACAAGGTGAAATGAATAGTTTTTTTAAAATAAATGGTGCTAGACAACTAGATATCCACACGCAAAAGAATGAATTTGGACCCTGGCTGCATACCATACACAAAAATTAACCCCAAATGGATCAAAGACCTAGACGTAAGAGCCTAAGCTCTAAACTCATAGTAGATTAAATCGGCATAAGTCTTTGTGACCTTGAATAGACAATAGTTTCTTAGATATGACATCTAAAGCATAAGTAATCAAAGAAAAAATAGGTAAATTTAACCTAAAAAGAAAAACTTTTGTGCTTCAAAGGACACAATCAAGAAAGTGAAAAGATAACACACAGAATGGGAAGAAATATTAACCAATCACATTATCTGATAAGGGACATGTATCCAGATTACATAAAGGACTCTTACAACTCATCAATAAAAAATCCAGTTAAAAAGTAGGCAAAGGAGGGCTTCCCTGGTGGTGCAGTGGTTGGGAGTCCGCCTGCCAATGCAGGGGACGCGGGTTCGTGCCCCGGTCCGGGAAGATCCCACATGCCGCGGAGCGGCTAGGCCCGTGAGCCATGGCCGCTGGGCCTGCGCGACCGGAGCCTGTGCTCCGCAACGGGAGAGGCCACAACAGTGAGAGGCCCGCGTACCGCAAAAAAAAAAAAGTAGGCAAAGGATCTAAAGAGACATTTCTTTAAAGAAGATATACAAATGGACAATAAGCACAAGAAAAAATGCTCAACATCATTAGCTATAAGGGAAAATGAAAATCAAAACCACAATGACTTCCCACTGCATACTAAATAGGATGGTTATAATAAAAAAGACATGTAATAACAAGCGTTGGTGAGGACGCAGAGAAATCTGAACTCTTATGCACTGCTGTTGAGAATGTAAAAATAGTACAGCTGCTTTGGAAAGTAGTTTAACAGCTCCTCAAAAGTTTTAACATAAAGTTACCATATGACCCAGCAACTCCAATGTTAAGTATATACCCAAGAGAACAGCATACCTAAGTCCACACCAAAACTTGTACACAAATGTTAACAGCATTATTATTCAAACAGCCAAAAAGTGGAAACAAACCAAGTGTTCATCATCAGATGAATGGATAAACAAAATGTGGTATATCCACACAATGGAATCTTATTCAGCCACAAAAAAAGGAATAAAGCACTAATACATGCTACAACAATGGATGAACCTGGAAAACATTACCCTAAGTGCCTAGTGAAAGAAGCCAGACACAAAAGGCAACATACTGTATGATTCCATTTATATAAAACAGGCAAATCCCAAGAGACAGAAAGTAGCTTAGTGGTTGCCAACAACTGTGAAGAGAGGGCAATGGTGATCAACTACTAATGGGTTTGGGGTTTCTTTCTTAAGTGATGAAAATATTCTAGAATTAGTGCTGTTGGTTGCACAATCTTGTGAATATATCAAAACCCACTACACTGTACACTTTAAAAAGGTAACTTTCATTTGTGAATTATACCTTAATTATAAAGAGCATATATTTACAAATGAGTCAAGAAAAAGTAACAGTTTAAGTGGATGTATATTAATAATCTATTGTTTGTGGTTATCCCTGCTGAGAATTCCACCATTAACTCGAACAATTTAGAGTTAATTGTTAATCTCAAATATGACAAGTATCAGACATATATTTTACCAAGAGTACTGTGCTATGAAAATGACACATCAAATAAATTCTGTTAAACACACCTATTCATTTCTATAGTTATACTAATTACATATTTTTACAGTGAAGTAGCAAAACCTTAAGAACATTATTGGCATTTAATGTCTGCATTCCCAGTTACTAGAGTCATAATTTTAAAAATTCAAAACTACAGATTGGTTAGCTAATGGTCTATCCTGAGGTCTAGACACCTGATTTCCTCATTTCATTCTGTAATTTCAGTTAATATAAAGTAACTGCTGTGTTAATGCATCATCTTGAGTAAAGCTTCTAATTTTGAACAATATCCACCATCCTTTTCCATTACCACTGATTTTATAGAGCCTAATGATATAGCTTTGGGAGCTATACCACTTGCTAAATAAACAGCATTTCTACATTTTGAATTTGAAAGTAATCTAATTTTACTGCAGCCGACAGGAAAAAGTCTTGGTTTCCCAAATACCCCAATGACTTTGGGAAACATTTACTGACACGATTGTGGAATGAATACTCTTTTCTCTGAATCTTTGACTTCCTGTTTCTCTTCCAAATCCCTAAAGGGAAAGAAAAAGAATAGAAAGAGTTCATCTACTTAGGCTTCCCCTGATGAAGCCCAAGGTAGCCACTCATACTCTTTAATTCTCTCCTCTTAAGGGACAGCTTAACTTGGCCCGGTGAGAGAGAGAGAGAGACAGAGACAGAGACAGAGACAGAGAGACAGAGAGACAGACAGAGAGAGAGAGAGAGGTGTGTGTTTCTAAAGCAGAGAAGATGTCTTTCTTGACCACACTGAGGCTTGCCTTGTTTAAGCAACCTCCCGACCACCACCCAGCACCACTTGGGCAAAGCCTGCCCTTCAGTAGCACTGCTCAGAACCCGTGCTCCTCACTCCAGAGCTCCTCAGGAACACACACAGCTGTGTGGTCGAGGCTTGCGACTGGCATTTTCACAAAGAAAGCAGTGACCTGCAGGTAGCACAGCACTAGGACTTTTCCAGCGTTATTGTTTCAACCTCTCTTTCCACTGCGTTTCGCACGTCAAAAATTTTGGCTGAAATGTTCCATCTTTTAAAAAGTGGCCGAATAACTTGAGGGACAGCGCAGTTTCATGGTAGGTCACCTAAGGGCACTTTGACATTCTGGCAACTCAAGGTGTAGAAAATGGTTCTTTAAAGTTTTGAGAAGTTTCGCCCCCGAGATCAGAGTGGGGCTCCCAAGAAGCGGAGGCCGAGCCGCAGCATCCCTAACTGCGTGGGCCACTCAGCACGGGGACGCGCAGCAGCCTTGTGTGCCCCCCTGACTGCCCGCGCCGCGCCACAAACCCGGGCCCCGACTTTTCAAACAAAATGTCACGGGAGACCAGTGGGCTAGGAGCCGCCGGCCACCGCTCCCAGACGAGACCCCAGTCCTGCTAGCAGCAAGGGGAGCGACGTGGAGTGCGGAGGCTGCGGCGGGAGGCGCGGAGTTGAGTCCGGTGCCAGCCCGCTCCATCCCCGGGTCCCGGCCCTCCGGATCAGCCCGCCGCCCCCATCCTCCGCGCGACGCGCCCACCCGGGACGGCGCGCTCTAGAGGGGGCGGGGATCCCCGGGCACCGGAGTCTCTGGGGTCGCCCTTCGGCTCCCGGCCAGTCTCATCTGCCTACCTCTGCGCTGGCACCCGGGGGCAGCGCCCGTTGTCCTGGGTGCGTCTGGTGCGGGTTTCCTGGGGCTCTCAGCCTGCGCCCGCTTCACACCAAGCCCGGAGCGGGCGGGGGACAGGGTACCGCCTCCTCCCCGGACTGGCGGCCGTTGTAGCCAATCAGAGACCTCAGTCGATCTCCTGACGTCACCTGGGGGTGTGGGTGTTGACTACTCCTAGTCCCTATCCCAGGAGGGAGTTCTGTCCAGGAGTCTCTATCCCTGGCCTTTGGCACACTTAGAGCTCAGAGCCTGTTGTAGCGCTCACCTCCTTTCCATTCCCTCTGCCTCGACTCGGCATCCTCCTGTTTGGTCTCCCAGCCTGAAGTGTCTCCTCTTACCAGTCTATCCTTCAACCTCTCTCCAGGTTAACTGTCCTTAAGTGCGGTTTTGATGTACACCCTGACAAAGACCTTCATTGGCTTCCTTTTGCTTAAGTTACCAAGAACAGATCCCTTAGTGTAGCATTCATAGCTTCCAACCTACTTTTGTCAGGTTTATTATTTACAGCTGCCCTTCACACACCTGAGACTGTTGCTGTGCACTTCCCCACCCCAGGGAAGTCCATTTGGAACATTTACCTACTATTTCCTATGTCCACCTTTAAAAGTTCTAACTATCCTCTAAGACACAGCTCAAATCATCTGCTTGTAACCATGCTTGTCGCCCCACCTAGCAGTAATCCCTTCTCTTGTTTCTGCTCCCTGAGCATTTACGTTTTTTTCTCCTCTTGGCACTTAGCTCATTCTGCCTTGTGTACCATTCCTTATCTCCCCATTAGACTGTGAGCTCTTTGAAACCAGGGATTTGTTTTCTTTCTTTTCGTATCCTCCTCAGCACCTAGCACAGCGCATTGCATGAGTAAGTAAGTGATAATTTTAACATAATTGGATTTTACATCCCAAGATGGGGTCTGGAGAGGCCAATCCCAGGGTTAAAAAAAAGAGAGAGAGAGAGAATTCTGAATGTTATGGGTAATCCTTCCCCAGGTCACAAAGCTAGGTCAGACAAATTACTCCCATTGGTTCACAGTTGGCCAATAGAAAGTGCAGGAGGCTTTTTTCAGTACAATCTTTTTTTTTTTTCCCTTAAGCTTATCTCACCTTATATAGAAAAAGCACAAAGCAGATAAAGATTTACAAAGTTCCACAGAAGGAAGGCAATAAACGAATAAGACTAAAAGGCCAGCAAGTGAGTATCAGGCTTCCATGTTTCTTCCAGATGAGCACTAGTTTTGGACTGGATCCCAGACTACCCCCACACATCAAATTCCTTTTGCCTTCTGTGGGAGCTGATGATGCATAGCATATGAAAATCTGTCTCCAAACAGCTTTGGCAAACAAGCAGGCTGGACTGGGCTTATTTTATAGAGCACACAGGAGTTAAATAAACAAAGTTTAAATAACTTGCAAAATTTAACACAGCAAGTCAGTAGAGACCAAAGAGCTTAGTTCAGGAGAAAGAGAAAGAATGCCAAAATAGAATCACTTCCGTTTGTGAGTCAGAATACTAAATAGACTAAGAGAGCTGAGTGAATAAAGTCACTCATGGAAAGAAGCTTTCTAAACACGGCTGACACTCTTGTAAGGCTCTGCCAACATTTGCTTACTGTCACCTTTTTCTAGAAACATGACAAACTGAATTTGGCTCTGGAGAACACAGTGGAACGGTATCCTGTTTCTGGTTGTGCTAAGAAAAATACATGAACAGTGGAATATTATTTAGCAATAAAAAGAAAAGTACCTTTAAATGCTACAACATGGATAAACCTTGAAAACATTATGCCAAGTGAAAGAAACCAGTCACAAAAGACCACGTTTTGTGGAATCCCATTTACATGAAATGTGCAGAATAGGCAAATTTATAGAGACAGAAAGTAGATTAGTGGTTATGAGGGGCTGGGGAGGATAGGAGTGATGGCCAAGGAGAGAGGGGTTTCTTTGGGGGAAATGAAAACATTCTAAAATTTGTGGTGATGATTGTGCAACTCTGTGAATATACTAGAGACTATCGACGGGTACAGTTTAAATGAGTGAATTGTATGTTATGTGAATTATATCTCAATAGAGCTGCTCTTTAAAAAATACATGCTGAATTTTATGTTTTCATATTAAGTAGGGGCAGTTGGAAAATATCTCTGACCAGCCCTCATGAATGTTCATGGCACTATATACCTTTGTCGCATAGTATTTACCTTAGTTGTATTTACCTTAAGGTAGTATTTATCTTAGTTGACAGTTGAGCTCAGGTGTGAAGCCAGGCAAGAGCAAAGAGATAATGAGAAGAGCATCCCAAGTCATGGGAGCCACAGGTGCCAGGCCCTGCAATGAGGAGGAGCCTGAGACATTGAAAAGACTGAATGAAGGCCAGTGAGGCAGGGGCACAGTGAGGCATACGGAGCAAGGGGACGAGTAGAGCAGGACGAGGCTGCAGAAGAAAGAGGGTCAGACCGTGTGGGCCCTTGAAGAAACAGAGCTTCTCAAACTTCAGTGGGGATCTTGTTAAAACGCATGTTCAGACTCAATAAGCCTGGGCTGGGGACCAAGAGTCTGCATTTCTCATAAGTCCCAGGGACGTGCTTTGAGTAGCAAGGCTGTGACGACATTATTCCAAGAGCCCTAAGAATCCACTCAAGTTTTTTAAACAGGGACGTGATAAGATCAGATGTGGCAAGTTACGGAGAGTGAATTAGAAAAGAGCAAGAGTGGATTCAATGTATTTCAGTTAGCCCGGTGAGAAGTGGTGGCAGCTGGGGAGTGGTGGTGATGGAAAAAAGCAATGGGGGACCAAAGCTGTGCTTTAGGAAGCTCTATCTAGTGTGCTGGAGAGAATACCTAGAAGGAGGAACAATTAGGAGGCTAAGAGAACAGTTCAATGAACATCTGAAGTAGGGTGCTCATGGTGAGATTGAAATGCAGGCCATGGTGGGAATTAGATTCTGGGTAGAACAGATAAAAATAGTAAACAAATATGTGGCACTTACAATGCATAGGGAGCTGTTCCAAGTGCTTTAGAATATATAATCTAAGGAGAGTCCTATGATATAGGTACAATTGTTATTCCCATCTGACAGATGGGGCAATCGAGGTACACAGTTAAAATAACTGTCACAAGGTTGTACAGACATTAAGTAGCAGGACTGGGAATTCTGGCTTCACAGTCATCTCTACTGCACCTCAATTTCTTTCAAGAAATTGAATCTTCAAGTTCTGAAATCTGATTAGAGCATAGGGACGTGAGGCTCTGGGAGGCTCTGAGTAACTGGGAAATGATGGTCCCACTAACCAAAGTAGAGAAGCAAGGAGAAGAAGGAATTAGTTTAGGGGAAGAAGAATGAGATCTGGCTTGGATGAGCTGAGTGCAACCTGAAGTGCCTTTGAAATATCCAGGAGGAGAGAGCCAGCAGGAAATTAGTCAGACTGAGTTGAGGACAAAGGCTTGGGTTTGAGTATACATTTCAAGGTAATCTGCACAGAGGGGAGATTTTTGTAAATTGCAGAATGATTGCTGACCATATAGCCACTTGGCATACTGGGAACAGGAGCAGAGAGGTTGAAGGAAGCAGGGATAAGGGAGCTGGGTAAATACTAGGAAAGAAGAGTCTGGCTCTTTAATCCAAATGCCATAAAATCCAAAAAGAAACAAGGGGAAAGGAGACACTGGCCCCACTAGAATGAGCATATGGCTTCTGGAACAGAGATATTGGAAACCCCAGTTCAGAAAGTACATGTCCCAGCACTTGGGGAAATATAACAAAGACAAGGAGAAGAAGATTGCGAAAAAGAAATAGGGCTTGTAGGATCAAGCTCTTACTGGCTGACTAGAGTACAAAGTGGGGTATAGGCCCAGGCACCCCAAGCTGTTTACCTGCAACTCAGGAGACCAGCAAACTCTGGACACCAAAGTGTCCCTAGAACCAGGGAGACAGACAAACAACCTGGCCCTCCTAGAGGGGTGGACAGGAAGATGACCTGTCTGGTGTGTCCCCAGTGCCCAGGGCATAACAGCCTGTTCAGTCCTTTGGGGCTGAATGAAGGCAGCCTCACCAGGTGAGCTGGGCCCCCTCTATCACAGACTGGTGTGGGCAGCAGGTTGTAGGTGAGGCCAGGCCAAGGCCAAGACTGGTGGAGGTGAGAGTTTAATGGGCACTGGTAAGGCCACAGAGACAACAAGCATGCACAGAGGAAAAAGAAAAGAGCTAGGGCAGAGCTTTGCGGATCACTTATTTTAAGGCAAGTGAAAGGAGAAGCAGACCATTGAAACAGATTGAGGGGGATAGTCAGCAATGAGTTGGTCAGGACCCATGAAGTTTAAAAAAAAAAAGAAAAAGATACCACACATGAGAGTCACACAGGAAAACAGTGACCCAAACCATATAAAAAAACATTAAATGTGAACAGAGGATTTACTGTATTTGGGCTCATTACCTACCAGGTAGAGGCAGCTATTCTGGTCCAGATCCTCACTACAGCTAATAACTAAAACTTTTCCCTCTCTTTTTACAGTGCATAAAGGGACAGCTTAAGCCAGAAGTAAAGGAACAGAAAACACAGCAAAACTGACCACAACATCCCCTGACAATGACAATTAAAGACACATTATAAGGACATTATTATGTGCCTTGGGATAACTGTAAAATCATTGCCTATGGAATATAGTATGGATGTTTCAGAAAACCTGGCAGGGTGACTGAACAGGTATTTGATTGCCACTGAATGAAGTACAAGCCTAATGTGTGTGATGGGTATTGGAAGCTTGCATGGAGCATTTATTTGAAGGATAGCAGATACATAGCAGGAAAATCCTAAGAGTTGAGGTGAGAAGGAGTGGGCAGATGGAGCAAGGGAAATGTAAAAATGAGAGAGGGCTATATGTAGAAACAGAAGAGAGGCAGTGTCTCACTGAATTCAAGAGGTGGGTTCGCTTTGAGCCTAGCTGAAATAATGTGAGATGGCTTGGCAACAGCATTTTGAACCAACAATTGAATCAAAGTAATTACCTGCATTCTTGTTTTCAATAAGTCTTTTCCTTTACTTAACCGAATTCATATGGTGGACCGGGACTTT